TGGACCGAAACATTTCTTACCTAATAATACTTCTTTTCCACATCTTTCCTTTTTATCTTTTCTATCTCCCTTTTTTATTTTTTCTATCATCTTTTCTCATATTTTCCAACACCATTTATACAATTTTCTTTTAACTTTAAATAAGGGACCAAACAACAGAACAGAACCAAAAAAGCAGCGTACTATTCGAGCAAAAATCGCTCCTTTTTTTTTTTGAAAGTCAGTTATTTCTGTAGTAGGTGTGGAATGTGATGAAAGATTGCACAACATAGTGGATCGAAATCGGAAACACAAAAAAAAGAAATAGGATCCCTTTCAAACGCGCAAAAATACAAAGATAACAAAAGTGATTTATGGTATTTTCCTATTTCATCAGATCAAAAGCTAGATATATAATTGGAGAACCAAAAAAGCGTTTCACAGCTTAAATAATCTTGGCGTAATCGCACTGCCAGTGTGTGTGCAGTATTTACCCAAGTTATTCCGATAAAACACTTTCTCTACAATGAATTTTAAGAGACGGGATATTGGTCCCCTCGATTGTAAATGGAAATATTTAAATCATCACAAAAATTCGTTTTTTTGGATATCGGTGATTAATGGTGCTGTTGATGCTCATTCATTTTATCCCTGTGGGAGACTTATCAAATAACAATGAAAGTTTGAAGTTTGAAATAACGTTCCTCAAACTTTTTCTCTGAATTTTCAAAACAATCGTTTTATAGATCTGTTAGAAGACATCGGCCTGGAGTTGGTTTCGTTGTTGTTGCTGGTGGTTTTTGCTGACTTCCACTTGGTGGTTTCTCTTTTTGCGCATCTTTGGCTGGGAACAATGCACTGTTTCGAAGAAAAAGTTCCAAATGTGTCAGCGCATTTCGTGCTGCCCAATTTTTGGCGTCTTTTTCGGTGCGTCCAAATCCACAGAAGGAATTTTTGATTTCATTCGGACCACGCAACGTCAAAATACACTGCTGGTCACCTGCAAAAAAAAGAAAGAAATCGGCAAATTTTAATTAAATTTACTTTTAGAAAAGGTAATTAGTTGCATAAGTTTCGGAAAACGCATAGTTTCCTAATATATATCTCAAAGATGTCACATTATATATCAAATAATGATTGATTGCTCTTTTTGTTGGAAATAGGTTAAAGAACAATTGCATCACTATGATGCACTAGCCCAGTCCCTGGTTCAAACTTTGGACACCCTGCCTTCGTCATAGTTTTGCTATCATAGTTTTGCTGACCGTTGGAGTATAAAAGCACTCCTTCCCATCGCCGAGATCGCCACAACTCGTCCAACACTTTAGCTCCCCAGAACCTCATCGTCTTTTTTTTATTATTTTTCAATATATTGCCTATATATAAATATGTATATACGACTAGGCGTCACACACAGGAAATACCACTAGTCGCGATAAAGAAAATAAAAATGAAAATAGGGGAAAACTCTGGCTGTCAGGTAGCACTACTTTGGCACAACAAAAGGGGAATTTTCCGATGTTATTTTTGGAATCTTACTGCCTTAATTTTCATAAACAGGGGAGAAAAAACAAACAAACAAACCGTCTAAGTCCATCGAGAAGATGGTATATTCCAGTGTTTGTGGCACGAAAAGTTTACTTATACTTTCATCGCCCGAATTTATCAGTTCCAATAGCTTAACTTCAAAACCATCTATACCAAAACTGGATCGCAAAGCGGCTCGAAC